GATTCTCTGTGGTGTGTCTCTGTTCGCGGCTTCTCAGTTTGCTGCCTCCACTGGGTTGCCATAGAGCTGGATTAGAGATCTATAAATATCTTTAATGACTATGATTATTTGAGAACTGGTCTGTACCTCTTCTGGCTTGGAAAAAGCTATTTAACCAGAGGACCATAGCCTGTGATTTTTGGTTGTTTGCTTTCTCACATTTTTCTTTTTATTTCACTTTGGATTTTGATGGCTTCAAAATGTCTCTCTTCCTCCCTCCTTCTTTCTCTTCCTCTCTTCTCCCTGGTCCTTTAAGTAATTTTCTTTCTACAATGTATCCACTTGTTTCGTTTTTTTTTTTTTTTTTTTTTTTTTTTTTTTTTTTTAGACGGAGTTTCGCTCTTGTTACCCAGGCTGGAGTGCAATGGCGCGATCTCGGCTCACCGCAACCTCCGCCTCCTGGGCTCAGGCAATTCTCCTGCCTCAGCCTCCTGAGTAGCTGGGATTACAGGCACGTGCTGCCATGCCCAGCTAATTTTTGTATTTTTAGTAGAGACGGGGTTTCACCGTGTTGACCAGGATGGTCTCGATCTCTTGACCTCGTGATCCACCCGCCTCGGCCTCCCGAAGTGCTGGGATTACAGGTGTGAGCCGCAGCGCCCTGCCCCATTTCTTTCTTGTCTGTTGCGCGTGTTACCATGTCAACTCCTCAAAATGACTAGGTGAAAATGTGATTTCCTTTATTACCAAATTCCTTGTTTAATTTTGTTTCATTTTGTATTTTATAAAGATTTTTGTGATAGCATCATTTTATTTGCTTTAATTTATATAGAATAAAATGCACACATCTAAATATTAAACCAGAAGGATTCTGACATATCTACATGCTTATGTAACATTAATCCAGATCAAGATACAGAACAGTTCCATCACCTTGGAAAATCCCTCCCGCCCCTTCCCATGCAGTCTTCCCACCAATCCTGCATCTAGTCACCATGGATTACTTTTGCCTTTCCGTCAATTTCATATGAACGAAATCATATAATATATACTCTTTTATGTGTGGATTCTTTCACTCAGCATAAAGCTTTTGGAATTCATCTACATTATTGCTGGTATCAGTTTTTTAAATATTGCTAAGTACTATTTCATTATATGAATGTAACAGATATTTATTACTATTATTATTCATTCTTGGTTGATGGGCATTCTGGCTATTTCTGGTTTTGGCTTAAAATCACTATAAATATTCTTTTTTCCCCTTTATTGCTTCTAAAAAAAAAAAACCTGTGATACATGTGCAGAGTGTGCAGATTTGTGACCTAGGTATACCTGTGTCATGGTGGTTTGCTACACCCAAGTTCCTGCACCTCTACTGTCCCCCAACAGGCCCTGCTGCATGTTGCTCCCCTCTGTGTTCATGTGTTCTCAATGTTTCATCCCACTTATTAGTGAGAACTTTTGATGTTTGGTTTTCTGTTCCTCTGTTAGTTTGCTGAGAATTTTGGGTTCCAGCTTCATCCATGTCCCTGCAAAGGACAAGATCTCATTCCTTTTTGTGACCGCATAGTAGTTCATGATCTCTATGTGCCAGTGTATCACTGATGGGCATTTAGGTTGGTTCCATGTCTTTGCTATTGTAAATAGTGGTACAGTAAACATATGAATGCATATGTCTTTATAGTAGAATGATTTATATTCCTTTGGACATATACTCATTAATGGGATTGCTGGGTCTCAAATGGTATTTCCACCGACAGTATAACAAGCATTGCTATTTCTCCACAGCCTCACCAGCATCAATTGCTTCCTGCCGTTCTAATGATCGCCTTTTGACTACCATAAGATGGCATCTCATTGTGGTTTTGATTTCCATTTCTCTGGTGATCAGCGATGTTTGAGCTTTTTTTCCTATGTTTGCTGGCCATATAAAAGTCTTCTTTTGAGAACTATCTGTGCTTATCCTTTGCCCATTTTTTGATGGGGTTGTTTGGATTTTTCTCATAAACATGGTTAAGTTCCTCACAAATTATGGATATTATACCTTTGTCAGATGAGCAGATTGCAAAAATTTTCTCCCCTTCTGTAGGTTGCCTGTTTACTCTGATGATAGTTTCTTTTGCTGTGCCAAAGCTCCTTAGTTTCACTGACCCCATTTGTCAATTTTGGCTTTTGTTGCAATTGCTTTTGGTGTTTTAGTCATGAAGTCTTTGCCCATACCTATGTTCTGAATGGTATTGCCTAGGTTTTCTTCTAGAGTTTTGATGGTTTTGAGTTTTACACTTAAGTCTTTAATCCATCCTGAGTTAATTTTTGTATAAGGTGTAAAGAAGGGGTTCAGTTTCAGTTTTCTGCATATGACTAGATAGTTTTCCCAGCACAATTTACTTAACAGGATATCATTTCCCCATTGCTTGTTTTTATTAGGTTTGTAGAAGATCAGAGGGTTGTAGATGTACGGTCTAATTTCTGAGGTCTCTGTTTTGCCCCCTTGGTCTGTATGTCTATTTTGGTACCTGTATCATGCTGTTGTGGTTACTGTAGCCTTGCAGTATAGTTTGAAGTTAGGTAGTGTGATGCCTCCAGCTTTATTTTTTTTCACTTAGGATTGTCTTGGCTATACTGGGTCTTCTTTGATTCCATACGAAATTTAAAATAGTTTTTTTCTAATTCTGTGAGGAATGTGAATAGTAGTCTGATGGGAATAGCATTGAATCTATATATTACTTTGGGCAGGATGGTCATTTTTCATGATACTGATTCTTCCTATCCATGAGGATGGAATGTTTTTCCGTTTGTTTGTGTCCTCTCTTATTTTTTTGAGCAGTGTTTCATAGTTCTGCTTGAAGAGGTTCTTCACATCACTCGTTAGCTGTATTCCTAGGTATTTTATTCTCTTTGTAGTGATTGTGAATGGGAGTTCATTCATGAGTCGGCTCTCTGCTTGCCTATTGGTGTAAAGGAATGATTGTGATTTTTGCACATTGATTTTGTGTCCTGAGACTTTGCTGAAGTTGCTTATGAGTTCAAGAAGTGTTTGGGCTGAGATGATGGGATCTTCTAAATATAAAATCATATCTGCAAACAGAGACAACTTGACTTCCTCTCTTCCTATCTGAATACCCTTTATTTCTTTCTCTTGCCTGATTTCCTGGGCCAGAACTTCCAATACTATGTTGAATAGGAGTGATGCAAGAGGGCATCCTTGTCTAGTACCAGTTTTCAAAGGCAATGCTTCCAGCTTTTGCCTATTCACTATGATATTGGCTATGGGTTTGTCATAAATAGCTCTTATTATTTTGAGATATGTTTCATCAGTACCTAGTTTACTGAGAGGTTTTAACATGAAGGGATGTTGAATTTTATCAAATGCCTTTTCTGCAGTTATTCAGATAATAATGTGTTTTTGTCTTTGGTTCTGTTTATGTGATGAATTACATTTCTTGATTTGCATATATTGAGCCATCCTTGCATCCCAGGGATGAAGCCGACTTGATGGTAGTAGATACGTTTTTTGATGCACTGCTGGATTTAGTTTGCCAGCATGTCATTGAGGATTTTCACATTGATGTTCATCAGGGATATTGGCCTGAAGTTTTCTTTTTTTCTTGTGTCTCTTCCCAGTTTTGGTATTAGAATATGACACTGGCGTCATGAAAGGAGTTAGGGGGAGTCCCTCCTTTTCAGTTGTTTGGAATAGTTTCAGAAGGAATAGTACCAGGACTTCTTTGTATTTCTGATAGAATTCAGCTGTGAATCCATCTGGTCCTGGGCTTTTTTTGGTTGGTAGGCTATTAATTACTGCCTCAATTTCAGAGCTTGTTATTGTTCTATTCAGAGAATCGACTTCTTCCTGGTTTAGTCTTGGTAGGGTGTATGGATCCAAGAATTTATCTATTTCTTCTAGATTTTCTAGTTTATTTGCATAGAGGTGTCTGTAGTAATCTCTGATGGTAGTTTGTACTTCTGAGGGGTCATTGGTAATATCCCCTTTATTATTTGTTATTGTGTCTATTAGAATCTTCTCCCTCTCCTTTATCAGTCTACCTAGTGGTCTATTTATTTTTTAAAATTTTTTAAAAAATAAGCTACTGAATTCGTTGATCTTTTTTGGAGGATTTTTCGTGTCTCCATCTCTTTTGATTCTTCTCTGATCTTATTTATAAGACCTGAAGTTATTTCTTGCTTCTGCTACGTTTTGGTTAGTTTGCTCTTGCCTTTCTAGCTCTTTTAATTGTGATGTCAGGGTGTCAGTTTGATAGCTTTTTAGCTTAATTGTGATGTCAGTGTGTAAGTTTGTTAGCTTTTTAGCTTTCTGATGTGGGCATTTAGTGCTATAAATTTCCCTCTTAACACTGCTTTAGCTGTGTTCCAGAGATTCTGCTATGTTGTCTCTTTGTTCTCATTGGTTTTAAATAACTTGTTTATTTCTGTCTACATTTCATTTTTTACCCAGGAGTCATTCAGGAGCAAGTTGTTCAATTTCCATGAAATCATGTGGTTTTGAATGAGTTTCTTAATCCTGAGTTCTAGTTTGATTGCACTGTGGTCTCAGAGACTTTGTTATGATTTCAGTTCTTTTGCATTTGCTGAGAGTGTTTTACTTCCAATCATGTAGTCTATTTTAGATTAAGTGCCATGTGGCTCTGAGAAGAATGTATATTATTTTGACTTGGGGTAAAGACTTCTGTACATGTGTGCAAGGTCCACTTGATCCAGAGCTGAGTTGAAGTCTGAATATCCTCCTTAATTTTCTGTCTCATTGATCTGCCTAATACTGACAAGGGGGGTGTGAAGCCTTCCACTGTAATTGCATGGGAGTCTAAAGTCTCTTTGTAGGTTTCTAAGAACTTGTTTTAAGAATCTGGGTGCTCCTGTATTGGGTTCATATATGTTTAGAATAGTTAGCTCTTCTTTTTGAATTGGAGAGCAAAATGTGGTGATCCATGCAATGGAATATTATTCAGCCTTAAAAAAAAATGAAATTCTGCAATATGCCACAACATGGATGTACTGTTTTTTTAATTCATGTATTTATTCCACCGTCAAAATAAGTCATAATTTAAAGCTATAACATTTTTAAAAGATAAAGGAGAATTTGTTGGCAAAGCTGTTAATAAAACAGACACTGGTCTAAAGTGCAACACTAAGCAGGTGTTCTCTGTTCCCATGGTGGAATAAATACACACAATTACACATAAGATTTCACTGAAGACAGGAAACGAGGCAAATAACCCTTTGAAATGAACTGCCCAATGAACAGAGGCAGGTTACAAATAATTTCTTTTAACATGTTACTGCAAAATGGAAAAAAATCCCCGAAGTGACTACTAACTCAAACCCCTTATTTTATGCACATGGCCTTGGCTTCTGTATTCTTTCCACAGCCACATCCAAATCCAGAAAGGCTTCTGCACCCCGTGCTCAAAAACGCAGCCTCAAGTCCCTGAGGCACAGACTGACATTAATGAGTCTGTGTGCAACTTTCATCCAGACCCTCCAGGGAAATCAGGAGCACAAACACAGAGCACAGCAGCGTTTCTTTAAACAATGGCTTTAACCGTGGAATGAGCTCTGACAAGCCATATGCATTTCATAAGCAAACCAAAATATTGTCTTCGTTTCTTCCTATTTTTCTTGCATTTTTAAAAATGTTAAGCCATCCAAGTAAAAAAAAAAATTAACAATGAAAAAGGAAATTCAAAGGGTTTATGCCAAAAAAACCCAAACCAGTCCTCTGCAGCCTAACTCATTTTTTGGGCTGTGCAGCCATGTAGAGGGCGATCAGGCAGTAGCTGGTCCTTCCCACAGTCAGCGCCATGGTGGTCCGGTAAAGCATTTGGTCAAGCAGGCCTCGTTTCAGGTAGATGGGCACACCATCAGCTTTCTGGACAATCTTCCGCAGCACTGGAACTGTGTTTTTCCCAGCATAATCATACACTGTGGAATCGGAGGTCAGTTTAGTTGGTGTGGCAAATATGATAGGTGGTGCTTCTGTGGGAACCACAGGCTTTAATCCCTGTGGGCTATAGGCCTCCAAAGCCCACGCTCCCACCAGCTTCTGCGTGAAGCCACTAAATTTGTAGTACATGACACCCAGACTCTGGCTTTTTTTTTTTTTTTTTTTTTTTTTTTTTTTTTTTTTTTTTGATGGATTTTCGCTCTTGTTACCCAGGCTGGAGTGCAATGGCGTGATCTCGGCTCACCACAACCTCCGCCTCCCGGGTTCAGGCAATTCTCCTGCCTCAGCCTCCTGAGTAGCTGGAATTACAGGCACACACCACCATGCCCAGCTAATTTTTTTGTATTTTTAGTAGAGACGGGGTTTCACCATATTGACCAGGACGGTCTTGATCTCTTGACCTCGTGATCCACCCGCCTCGGCCTCCCAAAGTGCTGGGATTATAGGCGTGAGCCACCGCGCACAGCCAACATAGATGAACTTTGAAGATATCATGCTTAATGAAATAAGCCAGTCACAATAAGACAAAAACTGTATGATTCCGGCCGGGCGCAGTGGCTCACGCCTGTAATCCCAGCACTTTGGGAGGCTGAGGCGGGTGGATCACGAGGTCAAGAGATCGAGACCATCCCGGTCAACATGGTGAAACCCCGTCTCTACCAAAAATACAAAAAATTAGCTGGGCATGGTGGTGTGTGCCTGTAATCCCAGCTACTCAGGAGGCTGAGGCAGGAGAATTGCCTGAACCCGGGAGGCGGAAGTTGCGGTGAGCCGAGATCGCGCCATTGCACTCCAGCCTGGGCAACAAGAGTGAAACTCCGTCTCAAAAAACAAACAAACAAAAAAAAAAAACTGTATGATTCCACTTCTCTGAGGCACTTAGAGCCATCAAACTTATAGAAGCAGACGGTAGAGTGGTGGTTGTCAGGAGCTGGGTGAGGAGGATAGGGGAAGTTATTGTTTAATGGGTGCAGTGTTTCTGGTTTCCACGATAAAAAGAGTTCTAAAGGCAGTGGTAATGGTTGCACTTTATGAATGTATTTAATACCACTGAATGGTACATTTTAAAATGTTAAGATCATATATTTTATGTTATGTGCATATTACCACAACAAAAGAAAGAAAATGACAGCTACTCAAAGAAAATGCCCCAGTCCTTCTTGAGAAGATAAGTCTTTTGCGAGGGAATAAGTATTCCCCTTACCGGGCCTCAGTTTCCTCATCTTTAAAACAAAGGAGTTGGAGTGGGTGATTTCTGACTTCACTTCTAACTTAAATAATGGATTTAGAGGGAAGCAGATGAGTATGGTTGTCAGTGCCTCAGCTTTGGCATCAGAGACTCAGGTTCTCATGGGGTTCTGCTGCTTATTAGCTGGGGGGCTTTGGGGGTAGATATTTAGCTTCAAGAATCCTCTGTTTCCCTTCTAATAAAATCAGGTATTAATTACACATCTGCCATAGGGAAGTTGTGAATATTAAATGAGATAAAGAATGCAAAGCGTCTAATATAGTACTTGGCACATAGTAAGAGCTTTATTAAGCTCTTAATATCATTTTTAAAAAGTGGACACTTCGGAAGCCAACATCGACAGATCACGAGGTCAGGAATTCAAGACCAGCCTGACCAATTAGAAATAAGAAAAAAGTGAGTGTAAAGTCAAATAGGTGTCCTTCATGCTTTCTGGCTGAGGGAGCCTTGAGCCCCTGATACTGACATTAGGGAAATGAGAAGGCCATGTTTGTTTCAGGTCCTCCACAATGTAGGGGGGCATTGGATTTCATAGTATGCAGTGCTAGGTACTGAAAGATAGGCCTTGCGGCTCAGGATTTCAAGTGAGAGCAATGGGTGTGGTTTGCTCCGGGAGTGGGAACTGTTGGTGGTGGGTCAGAGGGTGTCTTTCAGTTGTTTCAGCAATCTTGGCCCTGACTAACATTGACAAGCCATCTGGAAGCCCCAGAGCCAGAAAGTGAAAGCGGAGGAAGTTCCTGTGTGAGGATGTGGCGCTAGGTATCAACTACAGGGTGCAGCAAAGTTGACGTTGTGACTTTGGTGATAGCAGAGGCTCATTGCTCTGTTTCAGCATCTACCACAATGCCAGCATATAATAAAGGCTTAATGTATGGTTCCTGAATACATGAGGGAAACATGATGAGAATCAATGGGTTTATAAACCAGCTTGGCTAGACTCCCTTTTGGGGTTTTCTCCTCTAGAGAGACTTCTAGCCATCTGAAGTTTATCCAGCAGTGGTCAGCTTGGGTAATAGAGGCAAATCCACGTCTTCTGCAAGAACAGGTTGGAAGCAGTCAGGAGCCAGTGTTTCAGGTAGAAGACTGTGTGGGCTAGACCAATTTCATGTAAAAAGTAGGACACAGGATTTGTGTTGCTCCCTGGAAGAGAGAAGCTATTGATGCTGATGCTCGGCTTCACTCTCATGCAGGGGGATACCAAATCCCCTGAGAGTCCCTGGCCACGACACTGGTTACTCCTGGACTGGCTTTGCCAGGTTCTCTTCAAATTGATGACAAAGAATGGCTTTATTTTGGGCAAGAAATTGGTGTTCTAATGGATATGGTCGTAATATAGCTGACCGATTATGTGGATGGTAATTTCCCTCCTTGTGGGGCCTGCAAAGGCTCAAAGTATTTCCTTATTGAAATTTTTGAACATAAAACAACATTGAAAGACCTTTACAAAGGTGGGGTGTTTTTACCTGTATGCCTATGCCTTGGATTCTATCATTAACATTTACTATACTTGCTTTATCACATATCTATATATTTGCCCATCTCCCAGTCCATCCATTCATTCATCTTAGCTTTCTGACGCATCTCAAGGTAAACTGCAGACATCAGTACACTTTCCTCTCTAAATCCTTCAGCATTCACATCTTTTACTGAAGTTAAATATTTATCCACAAGTTTATTTTCTTTTGAGTTAAAATTTATATGCAATTAAATACTCAAATCATAAGTGAATATTAGATGAATTTTGACAAATGTTTATGAATATATGAAACATTCTCAACACCCTAAAAATTTCCTTGCACCCTTTCACCATCAATTTTGACTCCATCTGTAGGCAACTACTGTTCTGTGGGGACGTTTTCCACCAGAACATCTATCAGTGGGATTAAAGAATGTGTACTCTTTTGTATATGGCTCCTTTCACACTCAATAAAATGTTTTTGAGATTCATCTATGTTGTTTTGTGTGTCAACAGTTTGTTCCTTTAGCCTTCCGTGGAATGAATGTATCACAGTATCTCTCCCTTCTCATATTGACAGATATTTGAATGTCTCCAGTTTTTGCTATTAGGAATAAAACTGCCATAAACATTCCTGTGTAAATTATTTTGCAGAGATATATTTCAATTTCTCTTCGATACTTAGGAATTACTGAATCACAGAGGAGGTAGTTGTTTCGTTCTGTAAGAATCTGCCAGACTTTCTCCCCCACAGTGTGTATACTATTATACATTCTAACCATTAATGTATGGGAAGGGGGAAATCTTTCTCAACTTCGGAAGGCCTCTCTCTATATGTGTAAGTTTTTCCATCTGGGGATGTGGCTGATGACTTCAGAGACATGAGTGTGAGATACAGGGACACCTGCCATCACCACCACCATGAAGCTGGGATTCAGAAAGAAGGTTAATCATTTAAGGAATCCTGTGACCAGCATGAGCCCCTGTGAGGCCGCACAGGGTACTCAAGTGATCAGGGCACAGGAGACTTCTCTGATCACTTGATGGTAATCACTTTCACAGTAAGAAAGTGTCTCATTGGTGAAAACTTTTTTCCATAAAGCAGCGAAATATATTCTTTGTTCCTTCTTGGTAGTCCTTGAAGATAAGGATGGTCAAACAAAATCGCAGAATATCAGCAGAAAACTCAGATCTTGGCAAGATTTACTAGTTGGAAATCCAGTGTTGATGCCAAGAAGCAGCCAGCAGTTGAGATCAAATGTGATCCTGTGGATCATGGTGCATACTCCAATACAGAGAGCTTTTTGAAAGACGCTACCAATAGTTCTTCCAGGGCAGAGACGGGGCCTGATTTTTTTCTCTTTAATCTAGCACATCTGTGTAGCCGAGAAGGTTTCTTCATATCACTTTAAATGATGATGTCCCTTGTTCAACAATTTTCGAAACGTTCTTTAGATAAGAATTTTATGGGCATTCTTTATTGCATTAGGCTTAAAATTAATAAATCTTATGGTTTTATTGCAAAGTCTTGCCTTGTTTTGTTTTTAAGATGATACAATTTACAGCATGCAAGTTTGCTGTCTGTCTCCTCCCTTTATGTACATATAAAATGAGCAAACACGTGGCCATGAAGCAGATGGTCACGGAATTGGTTCGGTGTTTGTGAGTTCAGCAAGCCAAGAGTGTCTCATCTGAAATACCACCAGAAGTATCTGGACACAGCAAAGTTGGTTCAGCTGGTTGCCTTGAGATACATGCGTCCAGAAACAAAGGCATTGAAAAAAAACACCCGAATGACAGAATATCAGAGCCAGAGGAAAATGTGGAGGTACTTCAGTACCTCTTCCTTTTCAACCCACAAGGGAGATGTTGGAGCAGAAGCAGAGGTGGGCCTGCCTGCTGTGCCCACAGCTCACCGGAGATTGTTCCAGCGAAGAGATTCATTTATGATGAAGGAGAAATAAACTCCAGTTAGCTTAAATTCAGCAAGCTTATTGAAAAGGTGAAGAGGCATCTTGCAGAAGCAAAGCATGGCTGAGGCTTGTGGGCTCCGTCTGGGAAAATGAGCAGCCGACAGTGGCTGGTGCTGCCCCTGGCTCTGGGGCCGCATGGTCTGTTTCCCCACTGTGAGCACCTCTTCTATTCTCTTGTGTCTTCCCTCAGCCTGGCAGTCTCTGTGCATTCTTCAACGCATAACTGAACGTGGCTCTGCCAGCCTCAATGCTACCTGGCACTTTAGGTTAAATTAAAGAGCCATGAAATGAGCTGGCCCTTTAGAATTTAGCTGCTGGAATGACAGCTGAAAATACAGCATCTCGACTCCTGGTTTAGTGCTTTATGCTGACCTTTCTTTTCTCTACATGAGCACAGACTTTGGGATATTAGTGTCACCTAGTGTTATCAGCTAGTATTCCCCTTTTGTTTCCCATAGCATCCC